GCTTGGGCCAAGTTCCCTGCCAGTTCAGGGATCCAGGTGGTATGGGACGATCTCACAGTGACCAACCCGAAGCAAATCGCCAAGGCCGTGGGCGAGAAGTCGTGCAACTGCCTCCTACTCAAAGTGAACCAGATCGGCTCCGTGACCGAGTTTCTGCAGGCGTGCAAGCTGGCCCAGTCCAATGGGTGGGGCGTCGTGGTGTCTCATCGTTCTGGGGAGACCGCGGATACTTTCATTGCTGACCTGGTGGTGGGACTCTGTACTGGACAGATCAAGACTGGTGTGCCCTGCCGATCTGAGCGCCTGGCCAAGTACAATCAGATCCTCAGCATTGAAGAGGAGCTGGGCAGCAAGGCCAAGTTCGCTAGCCAGAAGTTCATAAATCCCCTCGCCAATTAAGCTGGGCAGGCAGACCTCTGGGATTCCCTCCCCCTAGCCTGTCCGTGTTCTCATCGCTTCATTAGAGCTGCCCCTGCAGCCAAGCCAGACCACCTGGACACCTGTTGGAAACCCCAGCTTTGTGATCCTGTGACATCCCAACTCCTCGCCCTTCTCGCGAGCTTCCCACCAAGTGTCCCAGTGTCATCCCGAGGTGTCTCAACAGGCAACATCCCCAGTGGTTTTGTTTGCAAAATAAACATCAGTGACCCCTAAAAAAAAAAAAAAAAAGCTTTGGATAAGTAGCTATTAATGTTTATGAAGACACAATTTCATTTGAGTGTAAGATCATTCAAACATTATGAACGACCATTTATTGAAGATTCTATTTTGAAATTTTTTTCATTGGCTAAAAGTTTGCTTTAATTGGGTAAGAGGTTGCTGGTGTCTAGAATTATGAAGTCTCTTTTGTGCATACATTGGGTTTTGTTGCCTGAGTTCAAAGTCAGGTAAGTAGTAATTCTGTGTCATTTAAAGGAAGAGAGCTTCTGAAATCCATAGAGAAGTCACTGGAATGGACAGAAGGTTTTGTAGAAAATGGTAATTACAAATATATGTATGTATTTGATATCATATGTAATGTCCGCAGGTGAATTTTGCATTGACTTAAGTGTTGCTGCAGTTGTTGCTGTCTACTTACGATTCATGGGGACCCCTGTGTTATAGCATAGAACTGCTCTCTAGGGTTTTTGGCTATAATCTTTGTGAAAGCAGATCCCCGGGATTTTTCTCCACACAGAACTCCACGTTAGTTCTTGGATATATACCGTTTGTAGCACCTAGGGACCAATCACCTAGCAGCAGGCAATTAATCAATATTAAACCGTGTCTTTCAGGTTAATTCAGGAAGAAAAAGAATCAACAGAATTGCGCGCTGAAGAAATTGAGAATAGAGTAGCTAGTGTGAGTCTAGAAGGCCTGAATTTGGCTAGGGTCCACCCTGGTACCTCCATCACTGCCTCAGTTACTGCCTCATCACTGGCCAGTTCATCTCCCCCTAGTGGACACTCAACACCAAAGCTCACGCCAAGAAGCCCTGCCCGGGAAATGGATCGGATGGGAGTCATGACACTGGTAAGATGATGTGTCCAGCATTTCCTCAATAAGATGCAGGATACATTAGGTCCCATTTACAACTTTTGAGCTGATTGTAATATGTCCTTATTGTATTCACCTGTAACTAGCTGAAAAACCATAAGCATAAATAATTTGCTAGCAATATCTAATTAGATTATTAGCAGAGGTAATGTCAAACCACTTCCCCCAATCAGCAAAAATATTATTTTGAATGGAATACATTAATAAAAGTATGTTTTTATTTTTAAATAAAAATTAACAAGTATATTAAGTGTTTAAAATGCTTTAGAATCTATATAAAATTATAAAATTCTAAAGTTGTAGTCATTGATTAATTCTGGTTTGTTTTTTTTTACTGCCAAACATAGCCAAGTGATTTAAGGAAACATCGGAGAAAGGTACTGTAAAACCTTTTGTACACTTCGTAGATAAATAATATTTCTTCAATGAAAGTTTAAAATTATATGTACTTTCTTTAAAGCTTTTGTAAACATAAAAATAAATATTAAAAGCACATATTATAGAATTATTTTAAAGTAAGCATAAAAGGGTTTATGCATTCAGGCACAATGATGAGATTATGAAGACTGTGTTGAATTTCTACAGAATATTCAGGCCACAAACCAATCCAGTAAGTTCTTCCTTCCAACCCATAAGTATTTTCCATGGAGAAGCATATTTGTACATAATCATTTAATGTGGAAATGAAGACGGGATTTCCCTCCAACAGAACTTTATTTTTTGGTTTTGTCCAAGTTGAATTTTTTTCTTCAGAATCTCATATCACTTAATTGTGCTTTCAACAATCTTTCAACATTTTTCAATGCATAGTAATGGTCAGAAAAAAATGGCATAATTGTTTGTGAAAAATATTGTAGTAAAGAAATCCACTCAATCCTTAAAATGAGATGAAAAATTTATTAAACAATAAAAAGAAGAAAATCATACATTTGAATGCAGATAGCCAAAAGCCCACACTTGAGAACTGATGATACTAATGAAAGAATTCTACCTAAGGCAGGTACAATCTAGGCCCCAAAGAAATTATAATACAGTCATTTGATTGGTGAGTCTTTGCTTCAGGTCTCAGTGAGAATGTTAGGAGTGTCAATTGGGCTTCAATTGGGTAATTAAGTATAGAGGTTGCCACTGATGGATTTCTGGAACCAAATTTTAATCATTGTCATGAATCCTTGAGATAGGATCATAAAAACAGCCCTTCTGGTCATTTATACAACTTTAGATACGTCTCAGGAAACTGTGAAAACCATCTTGGTACCAGAAACAAATTTCTCCAAAACATTTTGGGAAACCTTAGATAAGGCTCAAATAAGCTTTCATTATTAACTCTTCATTTTTAATCATTTTACTTGAAATTGTACACAGATTTCATCGGAATGTTTTGTTTTGCGTCTAGATTGCAGTGGTGGAAGAAGATGGTAGAGAAGATAAAGCAACAATTAAATGTGAAACTTCTCCTCCCCCTACACCCAGAGCCATCAGAATGACACACACCCTCCCTTCCTCCTACCACAATGAAGCCCGGAGGTATTATCCTTTTAGAACACTGCACTTTGTATACTCCCTTCCACTGTGTTTTCAAATAGATTACTTTAAAATAGCTATAGGAAACCATTAATATGAGCACTAACTATTGGTGTGTGACTCTGCTCCCTCCTCAATATCAGGGATAAATTAACTAAATTTCTGGTTTTAGATTGTTTTAGAAATATTTATATTTTGTAGTCTTCTTAGTTTTCTAGGGGCAAAAACTAAAATAAAATAATTTCAAAGATTTTAAAGACCTTGCCTTAAACAAAAGACTTAAAAAAATTCAGATGAGGTAGACCATTAACCTGAGGTATTAGTGGCCTCCAAAGGATTCATAGCCACGTGGAAAAAGTATAACACGTGGAAAACAAAGGGGATTCATCACAAAATCATGATTGGAAGATTAGTCTTTTACTTTCGCGAGTGGGACTATTGAAGCAGGGAAAAGACCATGATTGGGAAGTCTGCAATGTTACCGATTAGAAATAGTACAAGGTGAGTTTGGGAGCCTTCACACCATCCTAGTTGGGAAAAGACTTCTGATCTGGTCCTGCAATTTCCATCACTGCCAGCCAGTCCTCTGGGACTCATGTTGTTGTTGTTAGGTGCCGTCGAGTAGGTTCTGACACAAACCTACCTTATGTAAAATAGAATGAAGCACTGTGTGGTCCTTCCACTTCCTCACCATTGTTCTTAGGTTTGAGCCCATCATGGCCGACACGGTGTCAACCCATGTTGTGAAGGGCCTTCGCATGTCTCACTGCTTCTCCACATTACCAAGCGTGGTGTCCTTTCCCAGAGACTCCACATGTCCAAAGTAAATGAGACAAGGTCTCACTGTCCTTCTTTCTAAGAATCATTCTGACTGGACTTCTTCAAAACAGATTTGTTATTTCTCTGGGCAGTACACGGTACTATCAATATTCTTTACCATCATCTTTCAAATGCATCACTTTTTCTTTGATCTTTTTAATTTAAGGTCCAACTTTTGCACACAAATGAGCAGATTGAAAATATCATGACTTGGGTCAGGCATACCTAAGTCCTCCAAGTAACATCCTTACTTTTCAACCCTTCAGAGACACTATGCACCAGATTTACTCAATGCAATGCTTTACTTGAGCTTTTGACTTCTACTTCCACGAGCATTGATTGTGGATCCACATAAAACAGAATCCCAGACAATGTCAATACTTTCTCTATTTACCCTGTTGCTACCGATTTTCCAGTTGGGAGGCTCTGGGCTTTCTTTGCATTGACTTGTAATCCGTACTGGCTACAATCGTGGATCTTCATCATCAAGTGCATCAAGTCCTCCTCACTTTCAGCAAGCAAGGTTGTGTCATCTGCATATCATAAATTGTTAATTAGACTTCCTCTAATTCTTACTCATGTAATCCATTTTCTCCGAAATTTTTCTCAGTATACAGATTGAATAAGTATAATGAGAGTATATAATCCTAATTCTTACCTTTCCTAATCTAAAACAATGCAGTATTTCTTTGTTTTGTTCACACAACTGCCTCTTGATCCATGTACAAATTCCTCGTGAGCATAATGAAGTGCTTTCCATTCTTTTCAAGGCCATCCATAGTTTATTATTGTCCACACAGTTGAAAGCATTTGTGTAGTCATTGAAACACAAGTAAACATCTTTCTGGTATTCTCTGCTTTCAGTCAAGATCCATCTAACATCAGCAATGATAGCCCTTGTTCCATGCCCCTTCTGAATTCATCCTGAACCTCTGGCCACTCTTAGCTCCAACTTCAGAACAATTAGTTCTTACATCATGGTCTTGCTCGATATTCACCTTCATGAAATGACCACTGAAGATGAGGATGCTATAGCCAAGTGTTGTGAAGACAGTAGATGATACCCAGCTATCAATAGAAATAGATTGGGGTCTTAAAGGCTTATATTCAAACAAGCATCCATCTAAGTGAGAAACCAACTAAGTCCACATTGAAGAAGCACACCAGATAGTGTGATCCCAATATGACAGTTACAAAATTCAAACATGGTAAAAAAGTATCAGAGCTAAAATTATGAACGCTCAATTGGTGGAAGGCTATGGAGGACAGAGCGAGCATAAACACCCAGCTGCAAAGTATATAATCAGACCAAGCCACTGGCAGACCCGCTATAGCCAACGGCATGAGTCCAGAACAGAGACTTGGTGGTTGTCTTCCCCAAAGACACACCCTGAATCTGTTCTGGGTGCAAGTATCTCTTAGATGTTTCATGAAAAAACTTCCTCCCTGGTTTCTTGACTGTTGATAAGGGGGTCTTCTCCATCTCATGGATCATTTGTATTTTTGCCTTTATACTAATGTGATCTTATCCTTACTACATTAGTGCAATTTGGTTTTCATTGTTTTCTGTGGGGTTTCACAGCTGTAAAGCATAGGAGTGGATGTACAACCATAACAACCGATGAAAGGTGTTAGAAGGCAAGTAAGGGAGAGGGGTAGTCAGTAGGGAGGGGAAGGAAAGTTTGGAAGTAAATACTGAAGGCAGGAGGAGGGATGGAGCAGCGAAACTGATGATGATTGAACAGCTCACGTTGGGGCGAATTTACCATGGGGGCGGGAATGCCCTAGGATCGATGTCGTGATGATTGTACAGCTCTCCTAGATATGTTTGAACAATTGAACTATTCAATTCTGTGATATGTAAATCATGTACCAATAAAACTGTTGGGGAGAAAAAGAGCTGGATTTCACAGATAAAGCATTTCACATCAGTTTAAGAGTGTGCTTCCCTTGGCTTGGGTTTTCTTTGCTCATTATTTGGTTTCTGTCTCTGTCCTTTGAAGTCTTCTGTACAGCTTTTCAACGTCATCCTTTCTGCCCTGTACCTTAGCTGCTCCAGGATTAAGAACACGTTTCAGAATCTCCACTTTGATCTTTCCCTTCTGGCTTCTCTTTTGACTGACCTGTTGCTTTCTTCATGCATGAAGTTCTTGATGACATCACAGCTCATCGGGTCTTCTGCTGTTCCCTAACAGCAGATCTCAGGCATCAAGTCTGTCCGTGACATGTTCTCCAAATGTGTTACTTTTAGATACTACCCAGATAATTTAAATTTAATATATTAGGCACAAAACCACTAGAGAAATATCCTATAAAATAATAGGTCAAAATGACAACCAAAATTTTATTGTCTGTCTCACCATAGGTCAGTATTTTTAAGATAGAAAGAACAATCTTTTTAAGATAGACAAACGCTGAGAAAGAAAGATGTAAATGATCAAGAAAGTGTTAAATAATAGAAGATAATTCAACATGCCTCGAATGTTATCTTGTGTCCATTTCTTAATTATAACAAAGAATAAGAAGAACAAAAAAAAACATTTGAAGCAAAAGTCAAGTTTTGAGAGACTAGATAAAGGCTTAGAGACTTAAGGCTAAGGAAACTAGACTTAAATCTACCAAATTGAAAACTTGGGAGGAAGCAGAGAAAATGATATTCAAAGTCCACTTGTGCTATTTGCCTTTTCTACATTGTAAAGAAAACGACCTTCGTATTCATTGTGGATGGTAAACAAAATACGCCGTGTGTCCTTCTTCGTGTCTTGCAGTAGTTTATCTGCCTCCCTTGATCCAGAAAGCCTTGGACTTGGCAGTGCCAACAGCAGCCAAGACTCTCTTCATAAAGCCCCTAAGAAGAAAGGAATCAAGTCTTCAATAGGAAGACTGTTTGGGAAAAAGGAAAAAGCCCGGCTTGGGCAGCTCCGTAAGTATTTACTTGACTTTGAGTTGCCACTCACTTTAGTCACTGCTGAGTGTCTGCTTCTCATTGATTTTATTCATGGAAAACTACAGGGCAAACTGTTTTTTTTTTTCAGTTCTGCAAAAACAATATAACCTGAATAATGCTTGGCAAATGTTATAGTTGGAGAATATTGTAAAACATCAATCACTTTGGTTTGTTTAATAACCAAACAAAACCAAACTCACTGCCTTTGAGTAGAAGCCAACTCACACAAATTCTATGGGAGACGTTAGAACGGCCCGGTGGATTTCCAAGATTGTAACTCTTCACAGGAAAAGGAAGTTCCCTCTTTCTCCCATGGAGCAGCTGGTAGACTCAAACTGCTGATCTTAGTCGTTAGCAGCACAACAATTAACTATTGTGCTGCCAGGCTTCCTTGTTAATAGCAAGAGCTAGAAAATGTGTAATGCTAACTCTGTGAGGGAATTATTTTACACGTATCCCTATTTTATTCATGAGTACTCCATACTGTGGTAATTTACAGAATAGAGCCAGTCACCCTCGATTAAAGCCACTAGCTATATTATCACCTAGAGCCTAACCCAAACCAAATCCGCTGCCATCGAGTCCGTCCCCATGCAGAAGGACGATTGGAAATCATGTTATAGGTGGAGGGCCTCAGTTCTCTTCCACAGAAGAGCTGACGGGTTCTGAAGCTCTAAGCTGTGGTTAGCACCCCAACAGTTAGCTCACAGCCAGGGCTCCTCAGGATATAGATACACATCTAAAATCATAGTTACTTAAATTTCAAGGATTCACTCCTGGGAAAAAGTAGAGAAACCAACCAACCAACAAACAAAACCACAAAGTACTCTTTATAAGGCAAAACAAAAATCAGTACATTTTATAAGCATAAAAGCTATAAAAAAAGTAAAGGACGATATTTCTGTGAAGCTTTTGCTGCTTCCGCTAAGGTACGGGGCGAGAACAGGGCAATCGAGATTGTGCTAGAACTGTCTGTTGCCAGTGAATAATTGAACAAGAATAAATAATCAGTTTGTTTGAAATGTCTCTTTAAATATGGGTATCATACTTTATACAAAAAGAGTATGTGATATTTCTTGAAATGATGAAATATACACTTATCTATGTGTATGTATACGTGTCTTCCTATTTATTCTTTAGTCTGCTTTTTATCCTCTCGGTATTTCTTGTTTGGGTTTTGATATCTTCTCTCTGATCCTTCTTTTTAGGAGTCCCAGTGGCTCCCTAAGTTACACACTGGGTTGCTAACTGCAAGTCAGCAATTCCAGTCCATCTGCCTTTCTGAGAGAGAAGTCTGAGGAATCCTGCTCTCATAAAGAATTACCAGCTAGGGAAGCCCAAGGGGCAGTTCTGTTTTATCAGATACGGTTGCTATGAGTCAGGAGCTACCAAATGGCAGTGCGTTTGAGTTGGTTTATCCTTTTATTTAATTGACCAATAGAAATTGACATTTAAATTTACATCTTACTTTCGATATAAAGTAGCAAATGAGTGATACCAATTTTGTATGCCTCTTTTGACCTAAGCCCAGTCTTTGTTTCCTGCATTAGCACCGAAAGAATTGTTGACTGTGGTACACATGTTGGCAGATTTAAGAGGCTAGCAATATTTAAAAAGGGCTTTTCTGACTTCCACAGTGTAAAACCCACTCAAAGCATCAGAAGCAACAGGAAACTGATGTGCAGCCAGCCGCGTGATTAAGTGTTGTTCAGCAGGAGAATTAAGCTTCTTAGAAATTGTATTTCTCAGGAGAGGGACCCCCTAGGCTATTAAAAAAATATTGTACAAAGAGAAAAAAGGAAATCTAATTATTTTTGGATATAAAATGAACTTGCCAAAGAATTTTTTTGAAGTTTCTATTTCATTTCACTTACCAACTGGTTATAGTCTTTATAGTAATATCATTATTTTAAGATATTTATTTTGTTAATACCATAAATAATTTTGCTAATCATTATTTAAGAGGTATATGTAATTGATACTTCCATTTAATATTTTCAAATATTTCATTATCTATGTATTTTGATTGGAAAATTCGGAATCAGGGGCAAAATGACCATCAAATGTTCTATAAAAATTAGAACATCAAAGATATATTTTAACATCTAGAAATCTGAAATCCTTTGTTTTAAAGTGATAACAGATGAGAACAGGATATATTCCATAAAGGCCTCTAATTATACACCCCCTACAAGCCAGGTAATAGCAAAATGATTTG